TCGGGCCGTCGCGGGGCCCTCTGAGGAGACTCTTTGGCCGCTTTGCGGCATCATGGAGGCTTCCTGCGCCGTCTTGAGCTGGCAGAAGTCTGGAAAGAACCCCCGAACTCGTGCTACCCTTCCCAAAACAAAATATGTTTGCTTCTTCGGGCCCTCCCGGGTGCTCTCTTGGAGCTCCTGGAGCCGTCTTTGGAGCCTCCTTGAAGCAGCTTGCGGCCATCTTGGGCCGTCGTGGAGGCATGCTGGGCCATCTTCGCTGCCGTTGTCGCCTTCCTGAGCCGTCTTGAAAGCCTTCGAGAGCCTCACGGAGGCGCCATAGCAGCGCAGGGACCCTTGGGAGGAGGGGGGGTGCATGCGACTGGACGCTGCCCGGAGGGTGGGCGGGGTCCATGAGAAGACTACAGAAACCTTGCCGGGCAGCACTTGGCATTCTTCCACGCCTCAACGTACCAGGGGACACGGTTGTGGATAGTGGATGAGGTAGAGCAAGAAGAGTAGGTGGAAGCGTAGCGACAACACATTATCAGAAAGTAGAGCGAATTATCAGATAGTGCCATGCCTCTGTCTCCTCGGTCAATCTGCCTCGGTCAATCTGCGCCGCCACCCTAGGTCTGCTTAGGAGGGCCCCAAGAGGGCCCCAAGAGGGCGCGCCCTGTGGTCCGTTGGGCATCAGGGATCCAGAGGAGCTGGGGCGCCTCCAAGCTGGCCCGTTGACAGTCCTAGGGCGGTCGAAAGCTGGCCCCAAGACGAGCCGTGAGCGCCCCTCGGCATCTCGAGAGAGCTCCAAGCTGGCCGAACGAGGTGCTTGGACGGGCCGATTCGCTCCAAGGCGGTCCCAATACTACTGAGGAGGCTCCAAGATGGCAGCCCACGAGACGGAGCTGCCAGACACTTGTTTTCGGCTTACGCACTTGCGTGTGACTGCACCTTCTTCGGTTCAGATGGATTCGGTACGGGCTTCTGAGGCTTCAGAGAGCGAGTGCTTTGACGATCGCTCCGAGACGGCCCGCTAACGGCCCCTCGAAGACGGCCCCCAAGAGCCCCAAGACGGCCCCAATCTTCTCCAATCTTATTGCGACTCCTGCCGTCTCTCGCCATTCTGCGTTCCACCTGCACGTGTTCCGTCAGCCGGCGTGACAGCGCGCGCATTCAGTTTCACGGCAGTCATCGGGCGTGGAGTTCAACGCTCGTGTCGTTCTTTGGGGAACATTTGTGTTGTAACCTCCCCTTCTCTTGATGCCCATGTCGCCTGATCCGCGCCATGCGACAAGTGACATCCAGCCTTCGTCTGAAGATTCACGAAAGCCAGCCGAGAAGTACAGCCAGACCCTTCAGGGGACGGCCAGACCAACCAAACCGAAAAGGATGGGATTGCCAGGGTTTGATCAGGGAGGGAGTGTGCCCTCGAGAACCTTCCGAGCCAATCCTGGGCCACCCTCTCGTTTATGGGTCTGGTCGGGGCTCCCCGGTCGTATTCAGACTCGCGCGCGTATTCGTCGTCGTCGTTGTTGTCGTCGTCGTCGGCGGCGTCGTCGTCGTCCGTCGTCGTCGTCGTCGTCGTTGCCGACGACGCTGACCCCTCTTTCACCTTTTCAAGATGACGCACAGCAACATGCTTCCGAAGATGACCCCCTCCAAGGTGGCCCAAGAGACCCACAGGGCGCATCCAGACGGCACTCGGGCTGGCAAGATCGTTAATGAAGCAGTGGGTTTTGCATGGCTTTCGTTCACGACGCAGCGTCAAGGTGGCTCCCGGAGAGTCCTTCAGGAGAAGTGAGGGTCCCCAGAGGGCGGCAGACGCCCCCCAGACGAGTCCAGATCGTCCCGAGGCTGACCAATACTGCCGAAGAGGACACCCACGAAAGGCCCGAGACTGCCCGCAGACGGCCCCCCAGAGCGTTCCGTAAAGGCTTGAACATGCCGCTCGCGAGCCGCTCGGGCCCCAGAAGCCCCCTGGGCGGCCTCAGCCGGCCAGCCCCATGGGCCTCTCCGAGAGAGAGAGGGCAGCGCGCGTCGGCGATCCGACGACGCGGGCGTCGCAGATCCCTTCACGCGCCCAGGCCGCTCGGCCCCCGACATCGGAGGGCCGCTCTTGACGTCGGAGCCCTGCGCGAGCGCAGCACCGCGCGCGTGCCGACGGCACGAGTGGGGCCCGGCGCGCCGGCATCCCAGGCGCGACCCGTGCCCTCGCGCGCTGCCCGCGCTCGGAGGATCGTGCCCGCGGGTGCCGCTCGCCGCGCCGTGGGCGCGCCCCGCGGCGGCTGCAGCTCGGCTCTGCCGCCGCGGCACAGCAGAGGCAAGCCGCTCGGGCCGTCTCGAGTCGGGGGAGCGTAAGACCCGGGTTTGCCAGGACTCGGGTTCGCCATCGTTTTTTGACGACCGCGACTCGGATTTTGACGAGGAGGAGTTTTGTGGGATGTCTGCAGCGGGAGGCCTCGTCAAAATGCAGGCTCGGCCTCGTCATTTTTTTGACGACCTCGTCGGGGATTTCCGAGTCCCCCGTAACCGGGTCTTACGTCTCCCCGATCGAGTGGTCGGGGGCGCTCGGCCAACTGGTTCTCCGGCGCTGCACGGAGGGGGGGCGCGCGGAGGAGGAGCGGCCGCGGAGGCTCACAGAGTGCGGTGCGGTTCGGCCGATCCCGTGCGCGCACGGGCGGGCTCACGGTGGAGGGTCGGGCGGACGGCGTGGGTCGCGGTCGTTATGTAGGTGTTCTGGTTGCGCACGCCGTCTTGCTGCCTGCGTCGGCAGCATTTGCATGGGGTTGCTGGACGCGGGAGGTTCCCGCCGACACGCCGAAATCGCTCAATCCTGCTCCCTGTGTTTTTCGTAAACATCATGGCTCAAGACTTCTGCCGGGCCAAGCCAGGCTTGGGTATGCCGGCACAGCCGATACTGCATTGAGGATATGCGTTTGTCCGAGACGTATAGCTGCGCTGCTCCATGCCGCGCGATGCGGATCTTGATGGCAATCGTTGCGTCTATTCTTCCTGGTACTCCGTTTGCCACAGGTGTCTTTGGATCCAACCGCCCGCTCGAATTTCTGGCGTGCGACGTGTTCATGTTGCAGGCTTCTGTGGACTTGCCACCCGAGGTGCACAATAGGACCAAGCGTCCAAAGCTGTGGGCTCGTAGCAGGAGCCCTCCGCGCCATCACCGAACACCATTTTCCGCGCTCTCCACTTGGAAACAGGTGTCTGCGCAAAAGCACGCAGTTGCGACGCCGTCGCCAACATCTTGTGTTGATTCTGCAATGGGGGCTACGAACAGATTTGGCAAAGGGTGTGAAGTTTATTCGCACGATTATGAAAACCCCTTTTCAGGCATCTGCTTCGACCCATACTATGACGATTCGGATTTCACGTCTGCTTCAATGTGCTGCGTGTGTCCAGAGGAGTGCCCCGACCTGCCACGCATACGTCTCCAAGATAATTGTGAGGATTGGATTTCCTTCTCGGACCTCAACTCTGATGGGGAAACACCAGGGAGATCACATCATTCGAATCTTGGTGGGATGGGCCCGCAGTTTCAGATGCCGAATGAGCTTAGATATTATGGCGTTGGGCAAACCGCAGATGGGTCCCCTTTGGACATCACCTTCATTAATACAACCGAGTATGTTCCGAGAAACACGAATTGGAACAACATTCTTGGCGCCACGGCGACTGTGAATCTCCTGGTAGGGCAGTCTGTCACTCTCAAGGGGGAGTTTGTGCGAAATCACACCTTCTGCTCTGAGTCGCCAGTCCGGCCAAAGATCACGTTTTGTGATGTTGACCATTTCAAGGATGGGGAGAATGAGATTGTGCTACTCGACGGCATTAGCGCCGTTTACACGGTCGACGGCGACATCGACTTCGACATGCAGTTGTACGAATACGATACCATCACCAGCAACAGCCCAGCTCCGCTGGCTTACACCACGACTTCGGTCCAGACGCCGATCCCTGGTAGAAGCTCCAGGAAGTATGTCGCCAATGCTGGGGGCAAGTTCGGGATAAAGGTGACCTCGGAGATGTTCGGGCACGGCTGCGACAACCCGGCGGACCCGAACAGCCTGTCCAATGTCACTTGCCCAGACGCGTCGGCCGCCACTGTGGATCAGGCGAAGCGATGCTTCATGGTTGAGTTCGCTAACACAACCGAGTTCATTGTCGGGTTCAAGATCCTGACGGACATGCCGCCCCAGTACGTCCAGATGTGGGGCCGCAATTTTGCCATGTCCGGGACGTCCAACTACTTCGTCGACGAGGACAGCGTCGCATGCTTCACGACATTTGCGCCGACAAGTTCACCCACATCATCTCCAACATTGCTTCCAACAGCCTCGCCTACAGCTTCTCCGACAGTCGCGCCGACAGGGTCACCGACTGCTGCCCCAACTGCTGCCCCGACAGGCGCGCCCACATCTGCACCGACTGCGACACCGACAGCTTCGCCGACAGCGTCACCGACTGCTGCCCCGACGGCTGCACCAACAAGTGCACCGACTGCTGCACCGACTGCGGCACCAACCAGCGCGCCCACAGCTGCACCGACTGCGGCACCAACAGCTTCACCGACAGCGTCACCGACTGCTGCCCCGACGGCTGCGCCAACAAGTGCGCCCACAGCTTCACCGACAGCGGCACCGACAGCGTCACCGACAGCGTCACCGACTGCTGCCCCGACGGCTGCACCAACAAATGCGCCCACGCCCGCACCGACAGCGGCACCGACAGCTTCACCGACCGCGTCACCGACTGCTGCCCCGACGGCTGCGCCGACCGCGTCACCGACTGCTGCCCCGACGGCTGCACCGACAAGTGCGCCCACAGCTTCACCGACAGCGGCACCGACAGCTTCACCGACAGCGTCACCGACTGCTGCCCCGACGGCTGCACCAACAGCAGCGCCAACAGCTTCACCGACCGCGTCACCGACTGCTGCCCCGACGGCTGCACCAACAAGTGCACCGACTGCTGCACCGACTGCGGCACCAACCAGCGCGCCCACAGCTGCACCGACTGCGGCACCGACAGCTTCTCCGACAGCGTCACCGACTGCTGCCCCGACGGCTGCGCCAACAAGTGCGCCCACAGCTTCACCGACAGCGGCACCGACAGCGTCACCGACAGCGTCACCGACTGCTGCCCCGACGGCTGCACCAACAAATGCGCCCACGCCCGCACCGACAGCGGCACCGACAGCTTCACCGACCGCGTCACCGACTGCTGCCCCGACGGCTGCGCCAACAAGTGCGCCCACAGCTGCACCGACAGCGGCACCAACAGCGTCACCGACAGCGTCACCGACTGCTGCCCCGACGGCTGCACCAACAAGCGCGCCCACAGCTGCACCGACATCGACTCCAACAGCTTCACCGACCGCGTCACCGACTGCTGCCCCGACGGCTGCACCGACAAGCGCGCCCACAGCTGCACCGACAGCGGCACCGACAGCGTCACCGACCGCGTCACCGACAGCGTCACCGTCTGCTCCCCCGACGGCTGCCCCAACTTCCGCACCGACAGGACTGCGGGTGAGCGCGTCTGGCGACCCACACCTGGTCAACGTGCAGGGGCAGCACTTCGACGTGCTGAATCCCGGCGCCCACGTCCTGCTCAACGTGCCCATGCGGGCGAGCCCGTCGCAGGCGCTGGTGCGCGTGGAGGCCGACGCCCAGCAGGTGGGTGGCGCCTGCGCGGAGACGTACTTCATGAAAATCAACATTACGGGCAAGTGGGTCGAGGCCAAGGTCCACAAGCTCGGACGTGGCAACGGACTTATGTTTAGCGCAGGCGCGGGGGAGCCCCACACGGGCACGAAGTGGATGTCTTTCGGGAAGATCATGCTAAAGGTGGTCCATGGCCGCACCAGTCAGGGAACGGCATACCTGAACTTTTTCGCACGCAACTTGAAGCTTGCCGGCTTCCTTGTGGGAGGGCTCCTCGGAGAGGACGACCACACGGAGGCGGCCTTGCCGACCAGGGCGTGCGTGCAGACCGTCGACATCTGAGCTGATGGCTTGCAGGCGGTGCTTGTCCGCGGCAAGCTGCAAAATTCAGAGATGCATAATTCATTGCGGCACGCGGTTAGCTGCGGGTTTTGCGCGCGACCGCCGGTCCTTGATCGCTTGATCGAGCTACCTGTTCCGCCCCCAAAAAAAAACTTGCTTTCCGTGTTCATGATGTTGGCCGACGTGAGGTCGAGGATCACCCGATGGCTTGGATCAAATGGCTCGGATCCACAGGTAACGTCTGACACACTTAACGCAACCTTTGGAGGCCTGGAAATGGGCACCAACACCAACACAGGGGGTTGCCTCCATATTGGAAAGATGATCTTAAATTTTGGTGTTGGTGGCAATTTTTCGGCCACCTTGGAGGCCAGAATATTACCACCATCACCTAGATCGGGATCTTCTTCCCTCGGTGGAGGCACTCCGCCGATATTGGTGTTGGTGTCAACCTCTAGGCCTGCGAAACCTCCGGGCTCGTGCATCGACGGCTACCATGACAGCTGTGGGTCTCCCGGCTGCGGAAGAGAGGCCTCGCAGCCCTCGGGACGCGATGGACGCTGCTCCCGCCTACGCTGTCAGTGACGGGGCCCCGCGGCTCCCCCCCCCGAAGCCCCGCTCCGCGGCGCGCGCGTGGCTTTCTCCTCGTGGGCGCCGCAGACGCAGGGCCCTGCCACGAAAGCAAGGCCGGCTGGAGCAACGCCCGTCGCGTCCCGAATCGGCTCCTCCTCCTCCTCCTCCTCCTCCTCCTCCTCCTCCTCCTCCTCCTCCTCCTCCTCCTCTGGGTCCAGATCCGCAGACGTTTGGGCTCAAGTCTTCGGGGGCTCCGCGCATCTACCAACCATCGGATGGCGCCCAACACGTTCGGGCCCCTCGGGAGGCAGGCTGTCGTCGACCAGTGGCGACGGCTACAGGTCAAACAACGATGGCCTCCGCGCGCTCGCTGTGCTGTCGGTGCTCGCTTACCACATCATCAAGTCGTTGCTGCCTGGCGGCTTCACGGGCATTGGCGTTTTCTTAGTGTTCTCTGTCTACGCCGTGATGGGCTCGCTCCTGCGAAGCTCGCCCGATCCATCGCAGCTGAATGGTGAGTCCGCGAGGTTGACGGAAGTCGACTTGTGCGAGTCTTGATTGTCGTCGTCGTCATCATCATTATCATTATCACCATCACCACCATCATTATCATCAGAGTCGTCCGATTCAGAAACACGTTGTTGGGTCTCAGCTCGGCGCAGGTCGTGGCTTGATTTTACTTTTGAGAGCATCATGCGATTCTGTGCCCATCGCATGAGAAATAGCTGCCTGCGAACTTGGCTCTCATATTCGTGGTCGGTCTTTTGATTGCGGTCGTCATCCCTCCTTGGGAGCTTTATCGTAGCAGTTTCTAAAAATCAGGATAGCTGGGACTTGTAGGGTGAGCGAACCGGTATTATGCATCTCTGGAGACCAGCTGCTGTTGACGAGGGTGCAGCCACTCTGGAAAGGAACCCGTTGACACACATGTGGTCTCTGTGAGTGGGGGAGCAGTTCTATCTTGTGTGTCCGTTGGTTGTGATTATTGCATACCCGCCTTGCGGCTGCATCGTCGGTATTCCATCCGTGTCATTGCCCAAGGCTGCCTTCGGGTCGGGGCTGGTCCTGTCGCGGCTCGCGTCGTGGTGATGGATGGCTGCGCCGCCGCAGTGCGGTTTCTGTCCAGCTGCCGTCGGCAGGTCCCGCCATCGCGCCATCCCGGCATCCTCGATGGCAGCTGTTACAATCGATGGTAGTAATGAACATGATGATGCTGATTCTGATTATGATGCTGATGACGATAATGATACTAATAATGATGCTGATGATGTTGATGATGATGCTGATGATGATGATTTGGATGTTGACGATGCTTGTGGTGATGCTGATGATGCTGCTGCTTCTGATGATGGCGATGGTGATGGTGATTAGCATGATGTTGGTGATTGTTATTATGCTGATGACGACGATGTTGATGTTGATGATGGTGATGGTGATGTTGATGATGATGATGATGATGATGCGGATTATGATGATAAGATGACGATGATGATGGTGATTCTGATGATTATGATGATGATGCTGATTCTGATGATGATGACGACGACGATGGCGATGACGATGAAGATGATGATACTGATGATGATGTCGATGATTTGATGATGTTGATGTGGTGGTGGTGGTGGTGGTGGTGGTGGTGGTGGTGATGATGCTGCTGCTGCTGCTGCTGATGATGATGATGATGATGATGATGATGATGATGATGATGATGATGATGATGTTCTCAGTTTTACAGAACAGTGATTGTTGATCTTCCCCTCTGGTGCACCCTGCATTTTTCCCTGACCCTGCGCAGGGGTCCCTGTTTAGTGTTTCCCTGGGGGCTGCTGGGGGAACCCTTCCAGATCTGGCCCCTGCCATGGGCGGAAGGCCAGCAGACGCCGGCGAAGACGGCCGCAAGACGGCCGAAGACGGCGCAAGGCGGCAGGAGACGGCCACAACTTGCAGTTGAGGTTTCGGGCGAGCGTCGAGGAGGCCTGGGAGACCCCCAGGACGTCCCAAGATGTCCTCCGGACGGCCCAGGGAGGCCCCTCAGACGCCCTGAGAGGGCTCCAGGAGGAACTCCAGGAGACCAAAGTCATTGATTATTCGGCGATTTTAGCGTTCTCGCCTCTTCGGGCATCCTATGCTCCAAGACGGGCCCATATGCCCCCAAGATCGCCCCATGACGGCCCTAGAGGCCGCCACGAGGCCCGCAAGACGGCCCAAGAGGACCCCAAGACAGCCCAAGAGGCACCCAAGACGGCCCCAAGACGGTCCCAGAGACCTCCAAGACGGCCCTCAAACGCCCAAAGAAGGACCCACGATTGCCCAGGGAGGGCCCACGACGGCCTTCGAAGGTCAAGAGCCCCCCAATAGGCTTTCAAGGAGCCCCCAAGAGGTCCCCAGGAGAACCCCAAGAGAGCGCCAAGAAGACCCAGGAAGAACTCCAGCAGACCAACATCATCGAGCTTCCTTAGGTTCTTCAGCGATGTCAGCGTTCTCGCCTGTTCGGGCTTCCGACGCTCCAATACGGGCCCATATGCCCCCAAGATCGCCCCAAGACGGCCCGAGAGGCCCCGAACAGGCTGGCAAGACGGCCCAAAAGGGCCCCACTACAGCCCAAGACATCCCCAGAGACCTCCCAGACGGCCCTGAAGCGCCCGAAGAAGGACCCACGACTGCCCAGGGAGGGTCCAAGACGGGCTCCGAAGGCCAAGAGGCCCCCAAGAGGCTCCCAAAAGGCCCCCAGGAAGCTCCCGAGAGGCCCCTAGGAGGACCTCCAGGAGCTGCTGCTCCATAGGCTTTTGCTCAACGATTTCAGCGTTCTCGCCTGTTCGGGCTCCCGACGCTCCAAGACGGGCCCATCGGCCGCGCCCCTCCGACACTCACGAGTCACGCTCTCGCAGGGGACTCCCCCATGGTCTGCTTGGGAGTCGCGCCGTCGCTCGACCCTTCCGCGGCACTCCTGCGGGACCGACGCCTCGGCGACCCGCCTGCTTCGACCCGCCCGGCCGGACCCGCCCGCTCGACCCGCCCGTGAGGGTCCGCCCGCCCGCCCCGCCCCGCCTGGTTCTGCCGCTTGATCTCCCGCTCCTGAGCCCCCCCCTCTTGCAACTCTCTCTCGTGCTCCACCCTTCGCCCTCCCCCTCGTCGATTCCCTCCTCCCTCCCTGCCCTGTTTTGGGGGCCGCGCCCACTGCACGGGAGGTAAGCATGGTGGACCCCCAAGGGGGTCGCCAGCGAAGACCGAGAGGTCGGGTATCGATGGTTTGGGATGTATATGTTGGGTGACACGCGAGCGAAAAAAAACGAACCGTCTGAAGCTTATTGTTGTTGTTCGTGGTGATCATGATAGTGATGCTGATGATGATGACGGTGATGATGACACGATGGGGAGGATGAGTAGAGGAGGAGGAGGAAGAGGAGGAGCCCGAGAAGGAGGAGGATGAGAAGGAGTAGGATTGTGGTCGGCGAGGGGGAAAAGCAGCATGACGATGACGATGCCGACGACCATGATGATGGTACGTGGCCATGGTCAGGATCACGACGACGATGATGTTGATGATTCTGATGAAGGCCATGCTGATTGGGCGATGAGGACGGCGAGGACGATGGTGGTGGTGAGGAGGGTGCTGGTTCCGAGAGGATGTTGACGGCGACGACAATGACGATGAGGATGCGAATGGTGATGATGATACTGCTGATGATGATGATGATGGTAATGCTGCTGCTGATAATTCTCCAAATAGGCTTGCCCTATAGGAGTTCTGACTCAAACCCTACTAATTGGTCCGTTGCCCCCTAATTCCCGTGTCCCCCCCCAATTCCTATGGCTATGCCTATGCCTATGCCTCACCCCTAACTTCTATGCCTCCCCCTTACTCCCATGCCTATGCCTCCCCCTTAACTCCTATTCCTGCAGTGCATTGGACTGGAGTGTGCGCGTGTGGAAAACAGGATCGTCCTCATCGTCATCATCATCGTCATCATTACCATTATCACTCACTTTCGATTTGGAGTCAACGCTGGCTGATAGGATCATGATGCTGATGCTGATTATGATGGGGATGACGGCGATGCTGCTGATGCTTATGATGTTGCTACAGATGATGATGAGTATGATGCTTCTGATGCTGCTGATGATGATGATGCCGATGCTGGTTCTGATGATGATGACGATGATGATGATGCCGATGCTGCTTCTGATGATGATGATGATGCTGATGATGATGATGATGACGATCAGGAGGCTGATGCTGCTGACGATGCCGATGATGCTGATGATGCTGTGCTGTTGGCGAGTATACTTACAATGCTGCTGATGCTGAATATAGCGGTGGTAGTGTTACTGATGATGCTGACGATTATTTTGATGATGGTGATGCGGCTGCTGCTGATGATATTGCTGGGGCTCATGTTGATGATGAGGGCGCTAAGGTTGTTGCCGCTGATGCTGATGCTGATGCTGCTGTCGTCGATGGTGATGTGGCTGCTGCTGCTGCTGATGGTGCTGAGGCTGACGACCATGTGCTGACGACAAGTATGAGGATGAGTATGCATATGATGGTGATGATGACGATAGGGCGTGGTGATGAATATTCTGCTGATGATGGTGCTGGTGATTCTGCTGCTGCTGATGATGATGATACTGATGCTGATGCTGATGATGCTCCCGATGAGGATAATGCTGAGAATGATGGGAATACTGATGATGGTGCTGATGCTGATTCTGCTGTTGATAATGC